CGAGTTCAATTACACACTCTCTGACTGCAGTTCAATTATTCATTACTTACACACATTGTCCCGTCACGTTGTGACCATCTTATATATACCAGACTACTCCCAATCTAGTAGTTTCCCGATAATTCCTGAAGGTTTGAGACGGACGTGGCGTGATACTAGTCACGCGACCTCGCCCACGCAACAATACTTAGGAACGCGTGCGTATGCAAGGGGAGTTCGAGGGGCCGAACCCCCTATTTTTTGACGTACAAAAATTATAATTATATAGTTATATTTATGATGCAGCTGCTTATGGTACTTAACGTTTTGGATATTTGAGGACAGCCATGCAATTATTTAAGATATATTTCGTACAAAATTCCTTCCAGATTTAATCTTATAGCACTTATTTTTTTAGAAATTTTCTGGGGTAATGTCCCAGATCCCTGTAGCATTAGTATGCTTTGCATGGTAATATCACAAATGATAATCCCCCTTTCAAACTTTCTGTGTAAAGACTTCGAAATATGTTTGTTGAAAATAAAAAGTGAAATGAATAAAGTTAGCAAAAACAGACATTTAATAAAAGATACGACAGGATGAAATTTGGATGCAGGATAGAATTTCGTGGGTTGAAGCAAGATAAAGTTCATGTTACAATAGCAGATATAGTTATTTCTTCTTTAATGTTTGCTACAGCCACTTTGCCTGTAAGCCTAATTTAAAATACAAAACTCTTCAACAGAAACTTCAAACCTCTTGTAGGCCTAATATACTAATAAAGTAGTTTAACAGAAATTTTCTTGATTGGTAACAAACCTGACTAATATGCTTATTAACTGACAGAAGCACTAATTCTCAGTGATATGAATAAATTTACTCGACAAATAAATCTTTCCACGATTATCTACTACTCCAACATCAGTTCTTGTGTTTCTTCTAAACTCTCATTTCTACCAAGTGCGTGAAGTTTCTAAATTCCAGAACTACTTTTTACGAACTTTCTAGATCTCATATCATCATCATTATTAGCAGCTCTCTCTAGCAAACAACAATAACTAAGAACAGTTGTCTGTTCTAGCACTAAACCTTGTCTCGGGGTATGTGCCACTTCTTGTTGATATGAGAGTGGCCCACAGTCACGTGCACCTAGGAAGAGCGAACTTTTTGTGTAATATAAAGTTTTTCTTTGTTTTCCAGAATCAGATAGAAATTCAGACTTAAGATTTAATAAGATATTTTGATATTACAGAGAGATTGCTCTTGAAATGTATGTTGCCTTTTAATAGTTCAGGCTATACACTAAGATTTTGCTTATATATATCTTTCTTTAAGGTAGACTATTATTCTAATACATAGATTGTGTGTAGCATAACGTGGATTCTTGAACAAAAGGGCTAGAAGTATACTGGTGAGAGAACAACAATACAGCTCTTTCTCTCTCTCTCTCTCTTCCTTTTTTCCAGTCAACACATAAGCATATATTCAAGTGTTTAACTTCAACTATGTCTCAGTTAGAATAAATATTGCGATTTTCTTCAAACCTATGTCCAGTCTTTTTTTTATGCAACGACTCAGGCAGAGAAAATTCAAACACAGATCTATGATACAGTATTTGACAAATTCTTCTGTTTTTGTAGTTTCAGCAAACTACTCTGAGGGAAATCAGGACAGACTAAGAATATTACAGAGTAAGTAAGTATTTAAGGAGAAATTAGGGTGTCACGATCACAGATACTTTTACTGTGGAGTTTTGTTTTCTCTGGCATTTTCCACATAGAGAAGGGCTTATGGTTAAAAGAAAGAGACAGCTGCTGGAGGGAGAACTGTTACATCTAGGACTGTAGCTATTTGAAGAACGAAAAGCAACTGAGAACAGAAACTGTTTTTCTGGCAGAAGAAATGGCAAATACAAACAGGTGAATGTGATGATCTGTGGGGTAATTTGAACAATTCTGAATAGTGAGGCCAACTACCAGGGTGATTGTATCTCACCAGCCCACTCTACCATACAATCAACAATCAGGATGGCTCCTCTTGGCACAAGCAGAGATTTCAGGGTATGGAGGCTTACACCAAGAATACAGGCAGTAATGAGAAAGGTGAAGCAACTTGGAAACCCCAACTAGTGTGAGCACTCTTTGCCACGCAGGAAGTTGAAACATAGCCAGTGCAGATTGAGGACAATATTGCAGACGTGTGCATCTTGTGGCTCAGGTATGAGCAGCTACAACTATTTAAAAGTATGTTGTTATTGGCCACCAAGACATTGTTCTTAACACATGCCATAGCTAATAGTTCCAAGAACTCTAAGACAGGCTATTCCTCAGAATTTCAATACTTTAGGGACTGGTTTACTGACTACATTCGAGTTTAGCCATGCAGCACTGGTGTCAGCACTGTACAGTGTTTGCCATATAGAGAAAAAAATGGCCTAGACAGGGTAAACTCCAGCATAGAATTGTTGGTTCTCCTCAACAAAGAATAGCCCTGTATATTATGGGCACTGTCCTAGAAACTGAATGAGATATTTAGTATGTACTGGATGTTATCAGTTCAATTACTTCACCAAGTCGGGCAACTTATCCATTGGCTAATATTTTAGCACAATGTGTAACTGGTGTATAGGTGGAACAATGGACAGCCATATCTAATGCACCAGATGAAATTCAAAGCAACCTAGGAATTAACGTCAGCTATTCTCTGAATTGTGGAAAGTGTTGGGTGCAATGAAGATGCACAGCTCACCTTATCACCTTGGTAAAAATTGTGATAAAAACTATCAAGCAGATGCTCACAAAGTTTGTTAATCCTGGTTATGCTAACTTGGACAAACACTTGCTATACATCATGAGAGTATACCATGCAAGGAGTAGAGTTTAACAAAACATGCACATGTATGGTATCAAAATACTGCTCCCTGTTGATGTGATGTGCAGTCATATCCAACGGCAAGTGTGTTGCAGTGGCGGAATACTGGGATTTACTGTAAACTACACAGCCAATGTGCACAAGCTTGAGCACAGGAGTTAGAAAAGGCTGTAATATAGTAGAAGAGATGTTATGACTATAGAGTCAAAGACTGGGTTTGGCTCTGGTATATGCAAATGGTATGGAAGACATAATTAGCTCTGGCTCAATGGATTCTTTTTAGCATAAAATGTGGCCTTTACTTTCTGAAGTAACGAGCGCCTTTCTCCAATGAAACTATCATTTGACGCTCGTGAGGAATTCTCAATCTCTATTTGACTGCTGAAAGTTCTTCTGAACATCCTATGGTTTGCTCTATACAAAGGACCATTCATGATTCATCATTCCTGCACAACACAAGGGAATTAACTAATAAAAACACAACTGGTTAGCAATATTTGAACGATGGAAAGATTTGATCAGGATGTTAAGATCTTGAAATATTAAGTTAACTGTGACAGTTGGCCTTTGAAACATTAAGGATACAGTGAGCCTATTATGTTCAATAAT